ATCTAGAATAGAGGTCTTCAACAGGGGTCCATGACCCCTATGTGGTTCAATACATAGATATACGTACAGATATATATAGAAGAGCTATATGTGTATATATATATTTTATCTCTTTTTATTCTTATTTTTTATCTTTATTATATTGTATAGTTGGATGTGTGTATATATCATGTAAAACTGTAACTAGAGCGTGTAACAAAAGTAATTTACCTCTGGGATTATTAAAGTAGTTCTGATTCTGATTTTCAGATTCAACTTCCTGTAAGTTTTACATTATTTTGAATGCCAGTTTTAAATGGTCCTTGGAAGATTCTAATATGCAGTTAAAACAACTTCATGTTTCCATAAGTGGTGTTTTAGAATTTTCTCAATGTAAAAATCCCCCTGGGATTTTTCTGAATGTTATCAGACATCCTGCTAATACTAAAGTTAGCGTTGTCAGACGTTTTCTTCTAAAGGCAAAAAAAAGTCCTTCATATTCATTTTCTTTTATTATTTTTAATGGAACTGGGGACATTTGTGAGTTAAAACCATCCATGATTAGTCGCAAATCCAAAAAAAAAAAAAACATTTTCTGTGTGAAAAAAGCACACAAAGTCCAGGAGTTTTCCAGTCCTGGAAAATGCTTAGTGAAAATAAAATAAAATTTAGTTTTTCTCCTGTACGTTATTAGTAACATAAGATTTTGGAGGTATTCTGATTCCAATTAAGTGTTAGAGGTCTAGGATGTTAGCAAGAAAGCAGAGAACCAGAATTACCTGGAACAATGACAAGTGTCAAAATGATATCACATCCTATGATCATATTTGGGCTACTATGTAGTTTTATGCTCCATTAAAACTTTAAATCAACATTTAAAGAACAGAAGCAGAGTAAGTAAAACTTACTAGTTTTTGTATTTTACAAAAAACTCCTCCACTTCTACCATCACACCTGGAGAGACCTAGAAGATGTTGAAAGGAAAGATTTTGACAATAAATATCACAGAAAATGAAGATTAAGCTGATTCTGAAAAAGTGAGGGGTAATTACCTCCTTCTTGATGATACGAGAAGACATGATTTTGTCGACAACAGCAGCATCCTCCTCTGTTGGATTCTCCTTAGAGACATGACAGATTTAAGATTTAATAACTTTGAACGTAAGCCTGGGGAACAGAAACTTGGGTCCAACTTTCCCACAAAGTTCAACTTAGAAATATATTGACTTGAAAATTCATCCAGAATAAATACATTTAGACTTAACAAAACGCACACACAGACCCAAAAAACATTTAAGATAACTTGTAGAATGTTTTTCCTTCATGTAAACAAACCAAAAAAATGTATTTTCTCTATCTTGAAGCCTAGGATTAATAAGAAAGAAAGACTATTAGTTCTACTTTATTAGAATATATGACTTTATTTTGGAGTTTTCTTTTTCAGGGAAAAGGTCATTAACCCAATATGTCCTGCTAAAATTGACAGAAATATTTCAAAATCCATTTCTGCCTTCCCTGAGTATAAAATAATCAAACAGAGTTACACTATTTTCAGCTATATTTATATGTATTTTCAGCTCTAACTGTTTTTTGTTGCACTTTATTACATAAGCAACTGAATACCTTGATTTCTGTCCAACACCCACGTCTCCTTTAGTTGCAGGGCAACTGAATTACTGATAGAACTCAAGCTAACTCTAAGCTTTTTTTTTTTATTTAGATATAATTAATAGAAAGCATTTGTGGAAGATTTACAGTCATCATGATATAAAACAGCAACAGGAATTCTTCCCTTTCCCTGCCTGCAGCAGAACAGGTGCTATATTTCAAAGCTATTACAGTTTTCCTTAGTTGCTTTTATGAAAACCTTGCTCACAAAACTGAAAACTTGTTAAATATGGCACCGAGGTGATAATAGTGTTCACCGAAGAGTCTTGGCACCTCCGTTGTGTGCACGTCATTAGGAACCTATTTAACCGTGCCACTGGCTGATGACGGAGGGTTTTTCTCTCTCTGCCAAACAGTTAGCTCTGCTTGGGGTGGGTTTATGATGACAAACAATCAATCAGAGCGTCGGAGGCTAAATTAATCTCACTTTTAATCTGCCCATTTTAAGACCAAAGCAGTAAAAAACACTGAACCTCACTTTAATCAGTTTAATTAGGACTAAAATAAGAAAAGCTCCTCCTGCCGTTGGTTTAGTCAGCCACATAGTGAATGTGGGTCAGTTCATTGCAATCGCCATTTTCAGCTCCATCTGTAAGCGCTGTTAGCTACACTCTTCATAAGCCGTTCTGATTTCTGACATTGTCACATTGTGGTCATAAATATTATTTGGAAAAGTGTGCAAGTGATTTCTGGGGCTGGTTACTAAAACAAAACAATGCTGCATTACGTACTTGGACCTGGAATCTGTGCATAAGACTAGACTATATTTACCTTTTAGCCTACATAACGACCCTTGTTTTGAATTGGCCTTTTATATATAAACTAAGGCTACGTTCACACAGCAGCTTGAAGTTTTTTTTGACCATATGTGACCTGTATCTGATATTTTCATGACAGTCTGAACAACACAGATCCGATTTTTTCCAATGCAACCCAGGCCGCTTGGCTATGTGGTGCTGAATCCGATACAAATCTGATCTTTTCAAATGCGACCTGCATCAGAACGGCCAGCTCGCATTCATCCGACCTGAACGCCATTGGTTATCGACTTATGTCACTATTCTGCTTCTTGCTACACAGAAGCGGCAAAAAAAACCAAACACAATGGCGGAAAATGATGCTGAGAGCAGTATTTTTTTTAACCATCTTGAAAAGATGGAGGTTTTAAGGTTAGGAAAGATCGCTAGATGCGCTCCAGCACTGCTGGCTTGTGACGTCATTGCGTCTTCTACTGCTCATGTGGGACGGTTAAGCTGTAGGAATGCAGTTCACACAGGAGATCACATAGACGTCACATATATTTGTAAATTTAAACGGCAATCCAAAAAAAAAAAACGGATTTCACCAAAAAATTGGAATTGAGCATCAAGGCCTCCAGTGTGAGGTTCTATAGAGTGTTCTATAGAGCAGTGGTTCCCAAAGGGCGCGGGAAGCGGTATGGATGAATGAAGGAAAAAAAAAAATAATTTTATTGTAATCCCAAGGGGGGCCCAGAAGAAAATCTTTGGGAACCACTGCTATAGAGGAACACCAACTCTGGGAAAAATTCTGTGAAAAACCCAAAGAGGAATGACACTCTACTGGGTGCATAGTAAAAACATCTTAGACATATTTGGGATTTTTAAAATTATCTGTAGTTCAATTGTAGGTTTGCATAAATAAAATAATGTATAATTTGATGTAAGGACAAGATTTTTGATTGTTAAGTGCAACCAGATTTTTTTGGGCGATGATGCAAATTTTAATTAAAACCATTTGTTGCTACTCACCACAAAGAGCTGAACAGCAGGCTCCTTGGATGCAGCAGTGTTGGTTTTCTTGGCCTTCACTATGACTTTGACATCCTCATCTGACAACCTGGCTTCCAGCTCCTCAGCATATTTCTTCCTCTTCACCTGGCGATTCGACCGCCTCTTCTGGAGAACAATTACAAGGAAGAGGCAAATTCACATGCAAAATAATGAACCGATAGAAGCATATTGGGGTAAACCATAAAAATGTAACAAAAAAAAAAGGTTTAAACTGGCTTTAATAAAGGAAATGATTTGGTTTGATTTCTTTAAGAGATTCTTTTTAACAAGGCTGCAAAGCATGATGTGAAACATTTCTATTAACAAAAAAGAAAGTTCTTTCTAATACAAGACTACCGTTTTCCATTTGGCTGACAACCATTACTGTGTAAACATGAACATGTGTGGATAAGGTCCAGATGCATTGCGCTTCTTGGAGTAATGTCTTTTTTTTGTCTGAACTGAAATCCGAAATAATTTCAATAATATTTAAATTAAAATAATTAATTAAAATAAAGCAGCATAGAAAGTTTCCATGTGCATGAACCAAACACATAAACGCCTCCAACGTTTTAGTAGCTGGTGATGAAGAGCTCCTGGAGCTGGATATGCTGAGCTCCTGACATCTGCTGTTGGCGTTTTGATTGGAACAGCTTACTAGCCGCACTTAAAGTTAGCAGCAGGATGTCTATGACCCGTTTTTCCAAAGCACAGATTAGAAAACTGTATTTTAGGTCATGCACACAATTTTATTAATTCACCAAATCAGGATTTTTCCAAACAATCAAAGTTCATTCATCCTTTATGATAATAATAACATTGACAGAGAGATCAGAGTCTGGGCAACGCCGCCTGTTGAGCAAAATTGTTGATATAATTTCCAGAGAGAAACCTGCATAGGAGAATGACGTAGATAAAGCAGCTGAACCGCTGTTTAGGGATGCACTTAATATCCACTCAAATGCAGGCATAACCAGTCACCTTTAAACATATCAGCATTGATCCGATGTAAAACTGGGCTGGTATAACAACTAATGTTTATTTTCGTCTTGTTGTCAGTGATGTATGCCTTTCTGAATAATTGTGATAGGGATGCAACGAAGGATTCAAGCATGTTTAATAAAAACAAAGAAGAAATTGTAGTGATGATATTTTGATGGCATCCAAAGGGTAGGGAAAAAGATATAGTATATTCTAAATATTGGTTCTTAGCCATAACATCTACAGTAATACTGAATGCATGCATGCATTTCTATCACTAGTTATTGAAATCTATAATATTTGGCTGTAAAAAAAAGTTTTAAGAGAATTGTTGTATCAAACTGAGACTCAGTATTTATAAAAGGACTTTGATCATTTTGGGGTCAAATAATCTTGATGGGGACGCCTGTGATAAAATTATAAGATAAGTCACTGATTTTCTCACAATCTTCTGAAAACCTATTTTTAATTACAGTTAAGTACAAAAGTCAAAAGAAAAAAATGTATGTGGGAAAAGCAAACGCATATAAATAAAAACAATGAGAGCTTTGAAGTCCAGCTTTTGTCTCTGCCTTCCTGTCAAGTTTTTATAATTATCTTATGCGTGGGCTGCTGCATCCTGCATCAATGCACCAGCCCCTCCTAAAGATAATATGTAGTTAATTAGGAATAAATGCCACTGAGCCAAAGTTAATTAGATGTGCATTACAAAATCCCCAAGGGAGAAAGACCCTCAAATCTGCAAACTGAAGCTGACCACGAGCTGGGAGTCAAACCTGCCACATGCCACCTCAGCAAGGCCGAAGCCCGGAGGAGAGCACGCTTCTGTCGCTGTCGGACGCAGTACCTCCACTTCTGTCACTGGATCATCTTAAATGAGTCATCAACAGACGCTTTTAATTAAGGCCAGGGGCACCGTTTAACGAGGGTAATTACATTATAGGATAGAGTCCGGATAGGTCTGAGACGAGGGGGAGAGGGCTGGAAGCGTGGGTGGAGAGCGAACAATGCCTCCTCCACATGTCGATCGCACATCTCAGTCTATTACATCTGGGACCTTTAATCTCAATGTTGCTCTAAATTCAACGTCAGCTATTTACAAAAATATCTGAGATCATATTTCCCAAAATCAAAGTAAAAATCTGATTTATAAAAGATGAATTTAAGAAAACATGTACACATGAGGTTGATTTTTTGTGTGTGTTTTAAACAGTTCAGCTGGACCGTCGGTTTCCTCCATCATTGACATACAGAAGGAATGTGTACATTCAGATAGCCACCCACTATCTGACCTCTGAATGAACCACAGTCAATCCTGAAAGGGCTCAGGCTAAAGCTGTGAGCCTTCCTCTCTGCTCAGCAGCAGCATGAACAGCTAGGCCGACCAAACCACTATCCTCTCTCAGTTTTCTGAGGATCAGCAGCAATAGAAGAAGCCGAATGGCAAGCCGATGTGTGACACCCCAGGCAGCAACACCAAAACCACATCTGAACCAGATTAACTCAGTTAAACGCAACTACGTTGACACCTGATGCAATGAGCACACAGGGAAATGGAACAGGGCTTATTGCTGCTGCTTCAAGCTTTCTACATGACCAAAAGAGCTGCTACTCACAGAGTCGTCATCCTTAGAAGCGTAACGAAGGGGGGGATCATCATCCGACTCCTCCTCTGAAGACTCTGGCTTTCGCTTTTTCCTTTTTCCAATCTTGATCACTATTTTCCTGCAGGAAAAGAAGGGGGAAAAAAAACTGTAAGCAAAGTTCATCCATTAAACTCCAAGCTTTACAATTACGAAGAAAAGTCCCAATCATTACATTTGCTACACTAATCTCCTAAGCTAAAGTTTGAGCTGTGACCGTTTTGAAGTAACACTGCTTTGAGCAATATCAACCGCATCTAGAACAAATGTTCTTAGAAACATTATTGCCCCAATAACCCAAAGCATGCTGCAAGGGTAGAGCAACACCTGCAAATACTAGAAATGACCCAAATAACGCGTCACCACTTTCAGTCCAAAACACAAAAAGCAGCAGAATTAACTAACAATCTAATAAGCAGGTTTCAGGTAAACTGAAACTTTATTACCACTAATCAAATGAACTTGAGCTCAACTTTTTCATATGCAGATAGTGTTTAGAATAAAAAGGGTCAAAAATCAAAATAAGCAAGGAAAAACCTGACCATTTACAGGAGCCATGAAAGCCTAGAGGAAAGTCGAACACCCAAACGGCTGAAGGTTGCTCCAGTTGTGTTGGTAGTGCCATACACTTCCGTCCATATTTGTGTGACCATTTTCTCTATAATCTTTTTGTTGCTGTAAACACCAGAATTTCCCCATTGTGGGACAATAAAGGGATTTTCTATTCTATCATGCAACACCTCGCCACAGATAAGAGGGAGTTTATCTCCAAACGTTTAAATCTCTTACTGTTTCAGTCAGTTATGTGGGTTAGAGGGGCCATTCGTGACAAATTAATTAGATTTCCAAGATGAGGACTTATTTTATTGAAGACAGGCATCCAGCATTGAGCGGGCCGGCTAGACATTTGAAAGTGTTATACAACACCTCAGTTTATTCAACTATAGTTACAGTGGGGCCAAGAAGTATTTAGTCAGCCACTGATTGTGCAAGTTCTCCTACTTAGAATAATGAGAGGTCTGTAATTTTCACCATAGGTACACTTCAACTATGAGAGACAAAATGAAATGTTCTCATTTTGTCCATATATACGCATAAATACATACATACACACTCAAATCAACTACTCGGATCAAATACAAATCTCGTTCAAAGAGTGTTTTACTTCCTTTAATTAAATCTTTGCAATTCAAGCCGCTGTAATTTTAGGATTTATCTTTTTTTGCTTTACAGAAACTTCCGGTTATTTCGTAAACTCAGTATTAAGTAAACCCAGGTCCACTGCTGGTTTAGTATTTGTGTCTTATGAGGCTTCAAAGATGGAAAGAACAGCATATTGGGTCAGCAACAAACTAAACTTACTGCAAGTGTTTGCAATGCTTTTGTTTTTCATTCCGTCATATTATTCTGTGACCTTCATGAATATATTAACTTATAAAACCCGCAAACATCTTATCTAGTTCTCCTCTATTTGCGTTATCTCCAGCAAGTCAGACACACCAAATGTTCGGTTTGGCATCTGAACACAAATATTGCTGCCATACCATCTACCACAGTTTTATTCCCCCTCTCATAAGCTTGCATTCATTTACCAAATCAAATGAGGATAAAATAATGCAGAGGTGAACACAACAGGGCATTTAGGAGCCTCATGATCAGAACAGGCATTCAAACAATCATAAGAGGTTTATTCTGCATGCCGCTTTAATGGATATAAGTTCTTAATCAGTAAACTGACAAACATGTAACTTGTCCTTCGAAATATCAGCCCATGATGAAAAAGAAAGATCGATACTTTTAATAAAAACACAGGCCTCAACATTTATTTATCAAGAAGTCAAAGTTTATCTGAAAAAAAAAAAGACTGATTGTCAGGAAGTACTTATTAATTCCTTTTTGAGTTTAAACATACAATGAAATATAAAATTTGAACCATTTTTGAAAGCTATTTTTATAAAAGAAAATATTTAACGATTTAACTAATTAACTATTAACTATTTAACTAATTAAAAAATTGTGAAATCTCAAGACATCAGGCAGAAGGTCAACGTTTGGGCAAAAACTAGCCCTGAAAATTTTAAATGATCGTAAGACTGCTGCCGGTACTTTCAGGAAGAAAGGGCCAAAATAACTGGTGGTGGACCGCAATAAAACATTTCTAATCAAGTTATTTACAGTGTCTGTTCTTATTTAATCACATTTTAAAAACCACATATCGACAAAATAAACCACCTTTTCAACTCAAAAACTTTATCCTCAATTATTAAATACATAAGAACTTCCAGTTTTAGTCGATAAAGCTGTATTGTCTTGCCTGAAGGAAGACAATTTCCCAGCGTGGTAAAGACCATAGCGTGGTATAATCCTGATCTCCTGGTCACCTGCAGATGGATTGAACTACATTTCTGTTTCCAGTGGCTGTTTCAAAGACAAATAGTGTCGAGGTGATGAATATAATTTTGGCGAAACAATGTCATATGACAATGTTGAAAATAAGAAATGTTTCACTGGTTTGGTACTGTATTGCTGCATTTTCATGTGTTAAAATGTTTCTAATTAATTAATCGAAATTAACTTGTAAAAGTCCCAGCCATACTAATAACAGAACTTAAAAGTCATAGGGAAGTCATATTTAAATTTCAAATCATTCTGGCTTTAACATGTATATAAATGTACTCTATATCGGACCATATTGTCCCAAAACTTAGAAAGTTTTGAAAAAAAATAAAAAAATCATGTCTTAAAATCTTAGGGGGGGGGTTTGGTATTTTTATACAGGCCATTTAGTTATACGTCAGCTTGTACACCTAAATCTGGCCAATCATATATCAACGGTCATCTGTCAGTCAAAGGCTTTCGGTCAAAGGATCATCATATGTCCCAGCTATTATATGCAACGGTCGCAATAAGAAATAAGAATTATTTATTTTCTCATTGAGTTCCGTCCCAGTGTTCACGGGGATGGACGTCTGTGTCTACAGCAGGCGTAGAGCTAACTGAACTGGCAGCGTAGCGAGGCAAGGGCTCAAACATGTACTGCTGTAAGCCTTCTACACCAAACAAAACTTCCCTGGCGTCCCAGCTTTCCTTCTCTAAATAAAAAATGTATGATGGAGGAGACTCATCCATGACCTCCAACATAAAACTCTCCTCCTCTTGCATGTTTCCGCTGTCCATAGCGCTCCTTGACTGTGTTTTTGTTAAGTGCTACTTGGACAGAATGTAATTTCCCATTGGGAACCTACTAGCACTAAGTTGCTAACTGGTTAGCAAGATGCTTCCAACAAACCGGCCACAACCAAACATGCTTGCAAACCTTAGGCCACAACAATGCCGCCCCCTTGAGAATAAACCAATCACATTCACTATATTCACTCGTGTAAAGTCAGGCACCACTCGGGAGAATTCGGAAATGCAACCATTGGAATTTGTCGCTTCCATACGACTTAAATGTTCAGATATCCAACTAGTTCATCCAAGTCAAAGACTTTCAATGCATGTAAACATCTAAAATATTTACTTAAAATATATCTCCTTTTGGCATTTGGAACACCAAACAAAAATTGGTATTCCTATCAGAACTGTAAGAGGAGGCAAAAGTTTGGCTTAATGGCAGACAGTGTTTAACTGTGGAGTCACAGTAGGGTTAAAGAGAATGCAAGGAGGCAGGTCACCATCTACAGGGAAGATTATGACAAGTTGGATAGAATTAAGGAATACCAAACCAGTCCAGACAGTGAAGGTGTTTAGCGTTACCTGGCCAAAGAATTTGAAAGAAAGAGGAAGTAAAAATCCCAGCAAAGAAAGATATTTCTTCTCATTTCCATTTTTGTTATTATTTTACAGAAATAGGACTGATAATCAAATAGATATTTCCACGCACTGACACAGTAAGACAAGAATTTCACCCTTTCCTCCCTCCTCTGTTTTATTATTCATCAGACTACAGATGAAACACAGAAGAAAAGCTTTAGTCTTTATTCAAGTGTGACGTTATCGGCAAGTAAAAAAACTGAATTTTTCTCTTTCCAGTTCTGTAACTGTGGTGTTAAATTATTTTCCTATTAAGATCAGAGACGGAGACAGTTTCCTAGCTCGTGTGAACGATGTCTAATTATATTGTGGGAAAGCAGGGACACAAGCAAGCAAATGTGCTTTGGAAATATATAAATATTTCTCTACACTTCATTCGTTAAACTGTTTCTTTCCAAAATGGTTGCTAATTTGAGATTATCGGGTCACTGTACAAACAACAGCTTTGTTTGCCGTTTTATTGCCAGTGAGAAATCTTTGAAATTGATTGAATTAGATCATTTTCTTTTATATTTTTTATGTTTACACACAATGTCTGGTAAGGGACACTGTATGTTCAGTTTCTATATCCAAGAAAACAAACAAGAACATTAAAGCATGGTACACCACAAAAAGGGAAGTACCTCAGGGCATGTTTCAGCACTATGTTAACTCTCTTCTCAAGCCAAAGCACAAAAGGTTCGATGACAATGATTTTAATATCTTGGCAAACCGCAAACAGGCTTAAATCAGCGACAGCCAAATCTTCAGCAAGTTTTTCTGAAGATTTCTTGACATCTATCCAGGGGTCTAACACAATTCAGGGACCAGAGGTAAATCACTTGCACTTTTACAGCACTCAAGTCTGAGGACTCCATTCATAAAAACATTTATATGCCAATGGTGGTAAGCTAAATTGGTCCTTCCTCAGTTATAAAGATGTTTTGAGTTTTCCAAAAGGGCAAGTTTAAGGAAAAAGAAACAAACAAAAAAAACAAACTTCTTGGTAGTCTTGCACCGATGTGATACCAGTATCGGGCGGGGCCCCAATCCAGCACTAAAATTGTGGTATCCTTATCGGTGAGTACCAACAAATAGGGCACCGATACTGTTTTGAGAGGCAAAAGTTTATTCAACTATTGTCACCCATTCCAGGTAGGCAATGAAAACTTCTACTGGATTCACTTTGTATTAGCCTTTTTCCTGCTTCACAAAGGTACAGTAGGCAGCAGCTTGACAAAGTCATGATGGTAATTATTTTAAATCCAAGTAGTATGCAGTTCTTCACAT